GCGAACGCTTCGCGAACGCTTTGCGAACGCTTCGCGAACGCTTTGCGAACGCTTTGCGAACGCTTTGCGAACGCTTTAACGACGATCCCTGGTCAACGATTGGACCCCTGGACCCCAACCTTTGAAACGAGAACCCTTCTGCTACGCATTCGGGAAAAAACCATCAGTGTCGATGTGTGCATGCACCGGCAGTGCGAGTCCGGAACCACTGGGGCGAATCAGGAACCCGGGGCGGGGGCGGTGAAGGGATTGGAGGTGGAGGCGGAGGCGGCAGAAGAGGAGGAGAAAGGGGAGCCGAAGCGTGAAGGAGAATCGCAGAGCCCAGAACGGGGTGGGAGCATAGATTCACACCCCTCAAAGCAAAGTATAATCCTTCATTATGCCATCAATTCTTCGGCCGTCGGGACGGTTGGGATGGGGCAATGGGTCCCTATTCGCGGGGCGGTCCCCAAATCAACGGCGTTGATCCGTTTCTTGTTGCCGATTCGCCCCTCACGCGCCGGCACCATAAGGTGTTCGACCTTGGGCGTGCTTTGCATGGTGCTGGGCTTCGGTCTGTTCAAGCGGTTCATGAATAAGCGCGGCAGAGTCTTGGACAGCATTTTTTGCTTCATGTGTCAGCTTAGCTTGGCTGAACAAAGCGAAAAGCATATGCATGCAGACGGCCGGAGGAAGACTGCCGTTGGGATTTCCTGTCTTCAGCTTGCTGTCCAAGCTATGACAGTCCTGCCGCTGATGACGGACAAGGTCCGAACAAGATGGGCGCGGGCAAGGCTGACTGCACTCGGGAATTGCAGGACATTTGCAGGGTTCGCGTGTAGTCGCAGGGTAGACACCCTTCGTTGAGGCACGTGGGTTTAATTTTGTCCAGATGTGTGACGGCAGCAGCAGTCGTGTAGCGCAACCATCATTAACTGCGCAGGTGCCGTGCGTGCCTGCCTTTGCAGGGCCCTAGAAGTACGGGTCCTGCAAGCCATTTTTTAGGCCCCAATGCTAAGCGAGTGAACAAGTCCAGCCTCGACCTTGAACAGCATAAGTTGTGCTCCTTGGCAGGACATTGCCGTCAGTGAGGCGACACAAGATGAGGATGAACGCGCAGATCCACCAGTCGAAGTTGCCCTGGGCAGTGGCCAAGGTGGACATGGAGATGACGAGCCTTATCGGCACTAAAGGGGTTTAGGAGGGATCCATGAGAAGCACCAAGGGGGCCCAAGGGAATCCCCTTCCAAGGTTCAGCAAAGCTACCCCTCGCAACACCG